ATATATATATAAAGAGGGAAGGATGTGCGCGTATGTGCCTTTCAATATCCTGTGTGAAGAATATTCGCATCAGAACATGGGAAACTCTCCCCGGGACAGTGTGGGATAGAGTGTGTATCCCTCATAGGTTCAGCGTCAAAAGGTCCGGCAAGGAATATCCGTTTAGTGTTAAATATGTAAAGATTTGACGGAACACATATCCCAATCTCTTTTTAGCGCTTTTTGATAAGCGGTATAAAAGACTAGAAAAAAAAAACAATATTATATATAAAAACCTGCCTATAGATATATTCATATATATATATATAGATATATATATATATATATATATATATATATATATATATATATATATATATATATATATATATACACACAATAATCACAAACCTCCATTGTGAAGGACGAAGCAAATATTGGTGTGTGAGGATCGAGAGCAGGAATGACCTGTTCAAATGGGGTGAACCAATGAAACTATTAATGCCTGATTCGCCATAAAACGAACATAGTTATGAAATTATTGCAAGAATTGTGAAAAACTAACACTCCGTATATCTCGGATTACTACACATAAACATGGGCAAACGAATATATCTCGGCTTATTTCAACTGCATATATACTTCTCCAGTTATTTTTCCACAAATGAACTAGATACAAATTTCCCACTGCGTCGTGCGTATTCTCGTCTGTTACTAATTAATTTTGTTCGGAGAGAGGAATTAGAAACTTTACCCAAGGCAACGCACCGATGTGGTCTTCATGCCCGTGAGTAATAATAACAGCTTCGATTTTGTGGCTCCATTTCTTTATAAAAGTCGTATCGGGAATAATCTTCTGAACACCAAGATCCTCACAGCTGAAATACATACGTAAAATAATAATCCAACAATCAACCCAAAAAACAAAGATGAAAAAAAAAATCATTAAAAATTAAAACTTACTCTGGGAACATTATACCAGCATCGATTAGAATATATCGATCGTAATTTCCCACAAGCATGCAATTCATCCCGATTTCTCCTAAACCACCGATGGGTAGTATACGTAGAGGAGGTCCGTCGGACCCTTCGTAAAATTGCTCCATCTTGCGCTTAACCGAATCCTCCATACTCTTTCCAGGTCCTTCTGATCTTCCAGACCTTCTATTGGGTATTTTCGAGCTTTGTGTACCTAAACAATAATACGGTTAGGCCTCGTTTGGTCGTCAAGATAAGATCAAATAATCCAATGAAAACTCAATTGTTTTATTGGACAATTCGGGTCGACCCCGAAAATTATTGGGTTTACCAAACATCAAATAACATCCAACTATTTAGTTAATCGTGGCTAATTGCCTCAACCAAACGAGATGTTCACAAATTACCACATATTTGGGATTCAGTAATGAAAAATACAAGTAGAAAGTTATTTGAGAAAGAAATGTAAATAAAGTTTAGTGGTTCGTCAAGTCACCACTAAAACACGAAATTAATCTCGGAACAAATCCCCACTATCTTAATAAGCAACCATAAAATTAGATTAGATAGCAACAAACGGCACAGCCAAGAACACGAACAAGATACCGAACCAATTATATTCTCGAAAAAAGAATTTTACCCGAAGTTCACATTAACAAAAAGGGCACGAAAGTATTCGACTCTCGACGCTGACATATTCATTAATACACCATCCCCATTTTACCTTATAAACTACTACACGGCGAGACGAGCACAAAACACGAGATTTTTTAACTACAAAACAGCATTATATTCCAAATGAAATTTCTTTTACAATGTCTTGTTGATTATCCTTAGCAAGTAAAAATGGGTCCGTAGAATAAAATAAAAGGCTTGAGTGTGTATATATACACACACACACACACACACACACACACACACACACACACACTGCATACCCTTAACTACTGAAGGGATAGATACACAGCAGGAAACGAAGTTTTTTCTGGGCTTGGGTTGTTGGCACCATAGAAGCTTGTGCGGACACACTGAAATTGCACTTGAAGCAGCCATGTTTGTAACAGTAAATACTAAATTGCGCTAGTTATACATACATATACATATATATGTATGTATAAATATGTGTGTGTTCGTTTGTGTGCTGGAAATTGGATTGTTGAAGAAAGATAAATGGGAGATAAAATTGAAAAACCCCTGAATGGAAAATGTGTGCTTTACAGGGTTTAAGAGAGAGAGAGAGAGAGAGCAGAGGGAAGAGGGGTAAAATATCCTCCGCTTATCAACAAAAATGGAAGAGATTAGATTTTATCAGGGAGTTGTCGTGCTTTACTAACAAACGACTCTTCACTGAAGGAAATAATATATAAAATGGAAACGCGACTCTTACTATTTGTTTCTGTGAACTTTTTATATTTATATTTATTGGGTGGTGATAAATGCAGGACGTGTTTTAGTAAATATAGGACATTTAAAAAAAAATCAAAAGCTAATATATTTATTCTTATTCTTTCAAACATTTTTTTCTAAGTCTCCATTAGGGGTGGAAATAGGAATGAAATTTCCGAATTCCACCAATTCCAATTCGAAAATATCCGATTTGGAACACTTTTTTTCATTCCGATTTCCGATATTCCAATTTCCGATTTTTCCAATTATTTTTGGAACGGAATTGGAATTACATATAAAATTATTGAAAATTCCGATTTCCGATCCGATTTATTTCCGAAATATAAAATTATATATATATATATATATATATATATATATATATATATATATATATATATATATATATATATACACACACACGTTCAAGTTTTGCAAGAATTATGTTTATTTTTTATTTTATTTTTAAAATTTGCAAGAACTATGTTTGCTTTGATAAACTGATTATGTTATTTTTACAAGTGTTTATATTTCATCTTGTTGACCTTTGTTTTGGATTCTTGCCTTTTGCCACGAAAATATTAGAAGAAAACAAATGCTAAAAATTACTACAATTTCCGATTTTGGAACAAAAAATTAAGAATTAATGCAATTTCCGAAAATTCCACCGATTCCGAGGTATTCCGAAATTGGAATGGATTTTGAAATTTCGATTTTTTGGAACGGAAATTGGAACCTATTTTTAATTTCCGAAAAAGACATTTTCGATCCATTCCGTCCGAAAATATGTCTTTGGAACGAAAATAGTAGAGATTTTGCTTGGATTGGGTTCAAAATAGCAGATATAGGGTTTCCGAAAGGTTTTGAGTATAGCTGCGGCGGTTGCGACTAGGGTTTGGCGGCGGCCGCATTGGCTGCTAAGGTTGGCGACGGCTGAGAGTTATTGGCGGTAGGGTTCAGAATAGTACACCATAGTAAATCGTAATACATTATAGGACACCATAATATACCATAGTATACCATAAATCTGATGTATTATTTAACAAAAACAAAAATATTTTTTTTTTCATAATTTTCAACAAAATGTTAAAAATAAGAAAAAAAAAATATAAGATGTTTATAATAATAAAAATTCTAGAGTGAAAAACGAAAAAACAAAGATGACAAAGTGTACAAAAATAAAATAAAATATGTTAGATGAAACAATGAAGATATTAAATGCATAATAAAAAATGATAAATGCAGTTTGAATTTTACTCAATGCAAATTTTGAATTTATGAGTGGAGGAGCAAATTTGGAATGAATTTTATAAAGGATGTGAAGCAAAGGTTTAGTTGGACTTGTCATTTAGTTCTAATTAGTTTTGTCACCAGGGACCTATATCTTAAGACCCCTAACAATTAACAGTGCAGTTTCATTTTCTTAGTGATGTGAAACATATATTTTACTTTACTGAAATGCTACATCCCACACTAAGTTTACCAAATCATGCACGTAACTAAAAATATTCCTCTCTCTAAAATATATGTCTTTGGAACCATATGTTCGACTAATTGAATATGATTTTCTTATTTTTTTCAGAGATTTTGTTTGGATTGGGTTCAAAATAGCAGATCTAGGGTTTCCGAAAGGTTTTGAGTATAGTTGCGGCGGCTGCGACTAGGGTTTGGCGGCGGCCGCATTGGCTGCTAGGTGGCGACGGCTGGGAGTTATTGGCGGTAGGGTTCAGAATAGTACACCATAGTAAATCGTAGTACATAGGATACCATAATATACCATAGTATACCATAAATCTGATGTATTATTTAACAAAAATGAAAATAATTTTTTTTCATAATTTTCAATAAAATGTTAAAAATAAGAAAAAACAAAGATGACAAAGTGTGCAAAAATAAAATAAAATATGTTAGATGAAAAAATGAAGATATTAAATGCATAATAAAAAATGGTAAATGCAGTTTGAATTTTACTTAATTCAAATTTTGAATTTATAAGTGGAGGAGCACTTTTGGAATGAATTTTATAAAGGATGTGAAGCAAAGATTTAGTTGGACTTGTCATTTAGTTTTAATTAGTTTTGTGACCAGGAACCTATATTTTAAGACCCCAAACAATTAATAGTGCAGTTTCATTTTCTTAGTGATGTGAAACATATATTTTACTTTAACTAATTCCATAGATAAAACATATGCTAGTACAGTAAATTAAAATAATAACTCATAATTAATTATTTAATTTACTATTATCAAAATGAATTAATTAAAATTGTGATACGAACTTTTCGAATGGTTAATGAATTTCATCTACACCGTGAACAAATAAACTTATATAATAGCGTTACGTCGATAGATGATATACTCCCCAATATTACTTCCTTTAAAGATTGGTATTTAAATCGGGAAAGACGCTAAAAAGATATTCCTCATCAAGTGCGAGAAAAAATTTCTATGTCGATACAATTCATTCGTTTGTAGAAACTTGAAAAAATACAAACTCTCGAGCTACTCTATTGGGATTGTATCATACCAAAGTGCCGGGGGTTGTTTTCCAGTAGCAGCTTCTTTTTCCTGGCTGAGTAGTTTTTCAAATTCCGACAAGGGTGGTGGATGGTAATAGATAAGTAAGCATGCGACGAAGTACATTGTTTCAGATGCCGAAAAAATGATATTACCCACCAAAGATGCAGACGAATAATCCGATGAATCATTTCTTGTCCGGGTCGGAAGCGCCTATTCAAAACATGTAAAAGAATGACTACAATGTTTAAAAACATATATATAGGGACTGAACTGTAAATGTATTATTGTCATAGGCATTTAGTTGCAAAAAAAAACATATTCTTTATTTGATTTTTTCAATTGGAAACTATATAATATAAGTATTATGCTAAAGAATATTTTTATTTATTTTAATATTGCCAAGTATATATTGTTTAAATATAAAAAATGTACCTCAAAGATCCCAAGCCTTGCATTGATTTTGTGCATGTGTCCTCTCCCTATGTACTTTTCAATGTAGAAACTGAAATCTCTAATCCTGAAAATGTGGCACATTAAATAAATTCTATTTTGCGATAAGAATACAAAAACCCGACTAATTAAACACACGGAATTTTCGTAAGACTTACAAGCAAAGACGCGATTTCTTCCATCCGCTCTACATTAATTGAAATCAGACAGAGTCAAGTTTACAAAAGATCCCACCGTCAAGATTTCGACTCAAGTTTAGATGCAACATTTGTTAAACACGCCATCGATCTCACAATACACATAATGGAAATTGAAGGCAGCAAGCATGCGAAACGGGATTTTGTATTAGAAACTACATAACAAGTATATGCCAACCGATATAATATATATCCTCATAAAGGAAAACGATACACAAAAGGTATAACCAAAAAAAAACAGACAATAAAACCTAGCTCAAAAGGAATGTACAAGTTCTGCAACTCCGTCATCATTTTCCCCAAATTCACATAGATATATTCTCAATCTTAATCCATCAACGAGCATAATCACTTTCAAGCCAGTCGTATTTTACACCTTGACATACTTGTCGACATATCCCTGGAACGAGAGTAAAAATCAAGAATCAGAAACGAGAAATAATATCATAAAAGACACACAATGTTGTTTTTTAAACGAAGGCATACACATGCATACATACCATAACGAGCTTAGTCAACTTTCCTCTTGACGAATCAATGTAGTGATTTATCTTTGTCTGCGATTTAGGTATGTGGTGGCTCCTCATAGCTCCAGATACTTTATCGACAGTTTTCTTGACTATGGTCTTAAACGCCTCCTTGCTCATATTACCCTCGCGCCACGATGGCTTTAGAACCTCCTTCACAAAAGCAGCAATTGAAATCTTAAAACTATTTATCGATCTCGAATCCTTGACCACCTTCTTCTTCTTCCCAGAAACCTTAACCTGATCAATCTCAGTTTCATCTGTATTTAAGACAGCGCCCACCTCTGCATCTGCTGTCTCCCCGTATTCTTCGTTTTCTAGTGAATCACTGACTGATAAAGCTGCTCTTTGATCACCGGTATTTTCGTGTTGTTTATTATGCTCAGGTCTAGTGGACGAATTCGAAGTCGGCTCGATGCTATCAAAGAGCGGATCGTACTGGCCGCCACCTGGCCTTGGTAACAAGGATGAGGAAACCATAGTCTCGGAGCCAACACTTGCAACCTTGTGCTCGGGGACTGAACTAAATTCAACTAGTGCATTGTATTCACTATTCGAACTGAATTTGGTGTTCAGTGGTAGATTGAAGGTAGACGAAGATGCATAAGGATTGAAATGATTCAAAATTTTAGATCCCACAAAGTCGTGCGCATAAGAAGGGCGATTCCCGTCGAGAAAATCTGGCTTACTCACATTTGCAGGCTGGGCAAGTTGTGCAGGTATGAAAGTCTGTTGGTAGTACGGAAGCCCGTGAGAAGAATTACTGTCTGGAGGAAGACCTCCAACGAGAGAACTATGCACTCTCTTCGATGGTGACTGTGACAGTAAAGAATAAGGTTTGACCTGAGCAAATGATTGTGAAGGACCCATACCCTGTACTGTATAGCTAGTTAACTGTTCTCCTCCAATCATATGTCGATTGGTTAGATTGCTCACATGCAAATTACTTGCTCCAAAATTATCTGTGGTATGGACCATTTGATTAGGCGCCCACGTCAAAGGGTACGCCTGATACTGACCATTCTGAGATCGATTAGCCATTTCAGCTGCCTGCAGTAAAGGCTGCTGTATATGCTGCGAAAGAACGGTATGTTCTCTAGTGGTTACCTCATCACCCAAATGACTGTGTGGTGGTGGTGGTGGTGGTGGCAGATGTGGTGGTGGCGGCAGATGTGGTGGTGGTGGTGGTAGTTGTGGTGGTGGTGGTGGTGGAAGAAAAGAGTTTGACGGCACAGAAAATTGGGAATGTTGATAAAATACTGGTGGTTGATGAAGTGAAAAAGTTTCAGAAGCCGATTGGAACCTTGAAAAAGGTAGCATCGTGTTGTGATCTTGTGTGATTGTTTGAGGAAACGGGGCACTTGTCACCTGAGAGACTGGAGGCAAAGGAAGGGCCAACTCCGAAGGATGATTAGCAACTGACGGGGGAAACTCCTTCAAAGACTGGGATGGAACTTGTTCAGTGGCAGAATCAGTGATTAAAGAATCATCTATCCTTGTACCTTGTTGATCAATGATTTGAGGGGTATTATCGTCAGAGTACTGTGATGGAGGTTCTAGAACTACAGAATCTTGTTTTACTGAGGGCGTGTCATGAAAATCACTAACTGCACAATTGGCAAGTAGAGAACCAGGTTTCAGACTACTTGATTTATCAGGAGAATAGGCCGTAGAATCGACTGTAGGTTCCTTCGCATCTTCCACTTCCTTTAAACCGTGAGGAAGTTTTGACCATTTATTCTTCAGTTCATTGTCGGAGAAAACCTTACTCTCCTCGTGAAAATCCGAACTGGATAAAGTATGCTGTTTGCCCCTGTTGTGCCTCGATCTCTCACCCTTGTCAGACTCATGGTGTGAATACCGACACGCAGCTCCACGATGACACTTGCCTCGGAAAAAGTCTAAACATTCTGGAACAAGTTGACCCTTCTCCAGTCTCCGCTTATCTCCACTGAACTCACTATCACGCCTCGAAACAGGTGACCTACTCCTACTTCTTCGTCTCACTGGAGACGAGCTGAAAAAGAATCATCAAAGGTGTGAATAAAATTTTATATATATATATATATATATATATATATATAAATTTGCAACTGTAACCTGCGAGATCGACGGCGCCTCTCTTTTCTCCTCGATGGACTTCTTCTCCTCCTATGAGGAGATCGAGATCGGCTTCTGCTTTGACGGGTATTCCTTTTTATGGCTCTTCGTTCGTGTTTCCTTGTATAATGAGGTGAATTACTTGTGTCGCTGTCACTAGCATGTTCTTTAACCAATCTTCCAAACTCGTCTAAATTCGGTTTAGTGGAATTACTCTTCGTATCTGGCTTATGGAAATTAGCACCATCAAGACCAATATTAGCATCACAATTCCTTGACAAACCCTTTGATTGAAATGCCACAAGAGAACCGTCACTGACAGAATCTTTACCTCTATGTCTTTTATCAGAAAATTCGTCAACTATCCTCGTTGATTTCTCAGCTTCCCTCGCATTCTTTGGATATTCAGCTGCAGGTTTGGAGAGCCTATGCTTATTTATAGATTCATCATTTATAGATGGAGGGATAACATCTCCGAGAATATTTTCAGCATCATTTTTTTCTGAAGTACTGTTTGAATCAAAGCCCTGAGCAGATTCCTTTACGCTGACATGGAAGGGGTGTTCGTTTCGTCCAGTTTCTCTCATGCCCGAGTCATCAGCTTCAAAAGAATATTGTCAAAAGACTCAAAACTAAATAACTTTATATATTCTCAATGGTTACTTATGTATTCAATCATCAAGGCGATATACAGCATGGTTAGTTTTATACCTCCTCTTTGGTATTGAAACGCGCTCGCCATAAAAGGTGCTTGAGGTATTGAAACGCGCTCAACATTTGTATTATTAGATAAGCAACTCTTTCCCGCTTCATCAGGGTGAGTGATATCATCTAGAATACCACCAGAAGCAAAAAAATTAAAAATAAATAGATTAAATTAACAAGAAGCAAGAAAATATGAAAATGCTTGCAACCCTATAATTTATGAAATGAAAAGCCCTCCAACAAGAATATTTTTCAAGTTTATAATAAAGAAATAAGTACATCAGTATAGAGAGAATGGAGCAATTATCGGATCAAGGGTAGAAACAAAAAAGTAAGTGAATTGAGATGCTTAGATATCTGCATGTAATAAGAAGAGTCTCTTAGTAACAATTCGTCTAACCTTCCATATCAATGTCGGAATCTGCACCAGCTGAGTTCAATTCAGGTTCACTCTTTTCTTTGTGCACTTGAGTTTGAAGAATACTCGTATATTCATCAGATGAATACGTATACTGAAATGAAGGATTATTGGCGTAATTCCCTCTCCCAAGCATCTTCAAGCCAGACTAAACTAGCAAAACTCAACAGGCATGTGCTTCCAAGAAACTCTCTGAAACGAAAAAACAGAAGAGACTAAGAAAAACGGAGCCGAAATATGCTGATAAAATACACGAAGAAATGAAGAGAATAAGAGTGATGCAATGTAGCCCTTTTTCAAGCAACAGAATTGCTCTTGCAAGAGCTGTAAATACCGGTAATCTAAAGCTCGAACCCAACGTCTACAGAGTTAATTACTGCGCAGATAATATCCAATTAGTTCTTCAACATCACATGAACTCTACTCTAATATGCACAAAGATTAAAACACACACACACACACACACACACACACATTTATGCCGTTGTCTGCATAGTGGGAAATTAAGAAACAGAATCGAAATCAATAAACAGTAATTCCAGTAAACCCTAAATTGAAAATCCCTAAAAACAAACCTCTCCACCAAAACCCGCGCAATAAGAATCTAAAATCGAAAAGCAAAACCACAAAAAATTCTATCGTCTCTCTCCAAATTAAACAAAACCCCACAAATTGAACGCGGAAAAGGAACGGGATAAGAGAGGTGCAGCATAAAACTCACTTGAATTAGAAAATCAAACGCGAAAACCGATCTCTAGTTCTTCGAAAATTCGATACAGAGAGAGAGGAAAACCCTAACATAAAGAAGTAGCTTGTGTGTATTACAGTTGTGCTGTGCTGTGTTTTGAGGTTAATTACATTTTTAGCCACACATGTTGTCTCAGTTCTCACTTTCAATCCCCTCATTTTACACCGTCAACAAATAACAGATTAACGTTACCAACTTTTGACACATTTTGAAAGGAGAAAGAAACGGTCAACGATCGAATTAAGACTGAAATTGAAGGTTTTCTTTTGAGTAAATTGCAGTAAGACCCTTGTATTGTTTCAAATTGTTAAGGAAAATCCTTATATGATAAAGAATTGGCTAAAACCCGTCTTAAATATATGGGTAAATTACATATTTACCCCTAAGGTATGCTAAAATAATTTTAAGGTCCATGTGGTATTGGTAATTACATCCACACGCATGGAACAATTACTGGAGCCAAGATTTCATGTCCTGGGAACCGTTATGCACTATATTTGTTTCTTGCGGAACAGTTAATGCTACCATAGACGAAAATAATCTTATATAAAATTATAAATATTTAAGAAATGTTAGGAGAGTCGTGTCACCCTTAATTCTATGTTGTCTGTCTCTAGCAGTGCCTAAAACTAACTGTCCGTTACAGTTTCTAATAATATTTCAGGGTTGATTGTGATTACCAATGTTACAGGGGCCATAAATTTAATTTAACATACATTAGGGGTGTATGTGTAATTACAGTTTGGTACTAAATTATACTAATCAAAGCAATTGGGCTTGTAATCAATTATAGAAAGATATAAATAGTTATTAAAAAATAATTGAGATAAAAATTTGAAAACGATATACTCTAATCAACTATAGATTTTCTTAAAAAAATGCAAAACATAGATAAAATTATATTAAATAAATTTAAAACTATTATGTTATGAAAATATTGCATATAAATTATTCAATATATACAAAAATTATAGGGTAATTATAAATAAATAAATAAAAAACATTACAAAAGCCACTTGTGTTTTTCTAATTAACATATTTGCTCAGAAGACATAATCTACATTCGACGAGGAGTCAAAAAACGCGATTTTAGACGGATGAAGAAAACACGACTCTACGAAGATGATGATAAAATTAAAACAGTCCGAATCACATTTCACACATATACATACATACACTAATACATAGAGAGATATAAAGAAGAGACAACAAGTCTACATATATATCTATCTATACTTGTATCTATATCTATGGAGATAATAGTGTTTTCCCACTTTTGTTATCGACATCGTCCGACGTTGCTTGAACTTGAGCGGCGTACTGCAAATTCCAAAGAACATCCTCGAAAGAAGGACGAGTCGAAGACTCGGGCGAGATGCAATTGATCGTTAGCGACACCACTATTGATAGTGATTCTTGCGAGCTTGATGCCAGCACGGTGGGGTCCACTATTCGCCTCTGCCCTTCTGTATTCCCTAAAGAAACCTGTAGTAGTAAAATATACAGTTAAACCTCCATAAATTATTGATCAAAATTCTACTAATTTAACGGAATATTAAATTATCGATAAATAACTACTATTTATACATTAATAAATAACTTATTAATTTATGAAATTATTATTATTATATTCAATAAATTCATTGGACGGGAGCTCTTAAACAACAACAACTTATTAATTTAGCACGTTGTCCCCGAGTCGGGACCTTGAAAAATAATTAGTGAAGCGAGGTTATTTTATCGAGTATTAACCGAGTTCATTGCATTTAGTACCCCTATATTAATATTAGTTAAAACAAATACCGATAATGTATGTTTTTAGCACATAGCCCCGAAAAATGGGAAGGTTTTAGGGGGTAGTTTGCTAAAAAAATGCATTGTAGGGGGGTTTTGCTAATATTAATAACACGAGGGATTTTTTTAATAATTTGAAAATACGAAACATAGTCCAACTATTAACCGAATAGTCGAAATACGAAAGTTACAATGACAATCAGACGGTACAATATTATAGGTTTTACATACCATTTCATTGAGAAGAAACGACTCCTTCCTTGCACAAACCGACGGTCCGATAAGCGACTCTAGCAATATGCACCCGAAGCTATAAATATCATCATCTAAGCTCTTCATTTGCCTGCAAATATCGACGATCAATATGTTAATTAGTTGCAGATAGCCAAAAGAAAAAATCACTCTTACTACAAAAGGAAAGACTAATGACAATTCTATAAATTATTATTTGGGAAATTTTCAGTTTACCTTCCCTCAAGTTTGCACTAGTTTCACATTTGGTCCCCCAAGTTCATAAAAAATATATTTAGTCCCTCCTATTTAAAAAAATTAACACTTCTGGTCATTCCGTCAATCTACTGTTAGTCCGTCAGTTAAAATAGTGATGATGGGTACGTGCTTAATTCCGTTAGTACTAATCGAAAATTGACAGAAAGGACCAAAAATGTTAAATTGTTGAAACATGATAGACTAAATATGTTTTTTTATGAATAATGGGAACCAAATATGAAATTGAGGTCAACTTGAGGGACGGAAACTGTAATTTTCCCATTATTATTTGTTAGGTCGATTTTCTAAACAAGAGGGCATTCTTACCATGATTTAAGTCCATCTTCTTCCTAGCAGGAAAAAATAAATTTAATTAGTATCATACAATAATGTAATATGTTATATATCTATATATATATATATATATATTATTAAAAAAAAATTAAAAAAAAAACAAAAAAAAAATAGAAAATTTGTGAAGAAACATGCATACCTTGTCCTTTTCGATTTCTTGAGCAACAACAGACAATCCATAATCGCTCAGCTTTCCCATTCGATGCTCGTTCAACAAGATATTATTCGCCTTCAACCGATTGCTATTAAAACCCGGAATAATCCCGGTGTGTAGAAAATGAACAGCTTTAGCAACACCAATTAAAATCGAGAGTCGATCAGACCATCTCAGCACCTTCTCCGGATTAGTCTCTAAAAAAATCGATGGAGCAAAATTAAATTAATAAATTGAAAGAATCCAAAGTTTCGACTATGGATTAATATTATATATATATTTTTTTTTTACGTGACCCTCACCCGAAAGATGAGCTCGATAATTGCCATTCGGAACGTATTCGTAAACAAGATACACATTGTTAGCACCAACTTCGTCGTTTCCTTCATTATCGATGCAGTGCCCTAATAGGCAGGCCAAATGAGGATGCCTAATTCTAGCCAACAAATCGAGCCTCAGTTTCAGATTCCGTATCGTGTATTTTCTTGAAACTGCTAGACACCGTATCGCTACGTGGGCCCCGCTTTCGAGTCTTCCTTTGTATATCTGATGAGTAAAATAAACAATGCCAAAATCTTGATTATCATTTACAAGGTAGCCATGCGAAAAGCAAAAAACTGAATTACGAATTTTTCGATTCGCCAAAGTTTGTACCTTTCCGTTTGAACCTTCGCCCATCGACGCGGATTTGTCGAAGCTGTTGGTAGCTACCTTTAGCTCATCTAGTACAAATAGTCGATACGGTGGCGAACCCTGCGAACCCAACTTTGCTGCATCGGAAATAAACCCTAGATAGTAAAGAACAAAGCTTTAGACTTACAAAAAAATCGTACGAAATTTGATTTTGAATTAATTTATTAAAAAAAAAAAAGGATCGTAATTTACGGGCATTTGTTAGAATTTCGGCGGTGAACCCTCCGGTGACAGAGTTATCTTGCACCGACTTGTGCAGTAAGTGCTGCTCGGACGAACCTTGAGAACAAAATTTCCGACATAAAACGAGAAATCCAAATCCAAGAATCAAAATTACGACACCTATTCCACTAATAACACCGATCAATATTCCCAAATTATTCTTCCCATGAGATGATTTCTCGTTGTCCGAATGCTTCTCCGAGCAGTACGTTTCGGAATGCTGATGCTCGGTATCGATCGAAAGGCAATTCCCGCCAATCTTGACAACCCTTTTCTTCGTACTAGACCTCAAACAAGACGGCAAATTTCCCGTCAGCCGATTATTAGATATATCAACAAATTCCAACTCGTCGCCGCACCTCAAATCCATCGGAACCGATCCACTCAACAAATTCGATCCCAAACTCAACGAACTAATATTCGGCAGCGCGAAAATCCCAGCGGGACCCATCTCCGTAAGTGCATTGAAAGAAAGATCGAGCTGCTGAAGGCGACTCAGTCGACCGTATTGCTCGGGAATCCCCCCCGAGAAAGTGTTGTTCTTAAGCAGAACCACCGTTACAAATTCCGGCATACTAGCAAGCGAGGAATCCAATCTATTGTTGCTCAAATCGAGCCAATGTAGGTTCGACAATCGACCGAGATCGAACAATTCACCGAAGATTCCATTGTCGGAGAGATTAATATCATTCAACGAGTTAACTCTCTGCAATGAAGACGGCAACGGACCACTAAAGAGGTTGTTGCTCAAACTCAAACTAGTGAGTTTCGAAAACGAGTCGAACGAGTCGGGCAGAGTCCCGTTCAAGAAGTTCCCATCAAGCTTAAGGGTTTCGAGATTCGCAATTCTTGAAATAGTACTAGGAATAGATCCGTACATGAAATTCCAGCTCAAATCCAAGTAAACAAGTGACTGTAATCTATGTATTTTATCAGGAAATTTACCCCAAATGCCTAAAGAAACGAGGCTGAGTGATTTCAAACTGTTCAGCCTCGACAAAGTTGCGATGAGTGAATCCATGGAGAAGTTTCCGGACAGGGTTTTGTAAGAGACTGGGAAGCCATTGAAGCTGGTTGGCCTTGTCTGCAAGCTGTCGCCGAAGATTGTGATCTCGGTGACGGAGTTGTCTCGGCACGTGATGTTCACGCGCGGGGAAGAGGAGAAGCAGAGATCGATGGTGGGCCCCCAAATTTGGAGTTGGTTTGGGTACTCGAGTTGTTTTCTTAGCTGTAAGAGGACTTGGGTTTGGGAGGGTTGAAGCTGGTGTGTGTACAAGATCAAGAAACAACACCATTGTAGAGAGAGAAACAAACACATTCTTGAAATTTTCATTTTTGATTTTTTTTTTTTTTTTTATGATGATGATGATTGGTGGTGTTGTTATTACATCGGAGGTTTGTGTGAAAAGAATGAAACTTGGATCAAAAGCCGCCAAAAGGAAATTACTGAATATGAAAATCAAACACTGTTGAAGTGATTGCTTGGTTTAGGAAGAACAGGAAAGAATGTAGTGAATCACACTATACAACGTTAAATAAAAGAAAGTAAATTAGGAGCGGAGCAGAGATATTTATATTAAATGATACATTTCACTAACACCTTAATTATTTGGTTGATGTGCTCGTTCAGTATGGTACCAAAGTCAGATTCAATGAAAATGTCATGAAGTCGAATTTTACAGCCACTTATTTCAAATATTTCAAGTGCAAGACTTCAGATGTAAATTTTAAATAATACATTTCACTTGCAATTTAAGCTTTACAATTATCCATCAACTCTGAATATTCTTACATGTTAAATTCAACAAAATTTTCTAGATTAATATTTCCTTGTTTGTATCTTTTTTTTGCAAAAGTGCAAATTTCTAGTGTACCACTGTCAGTCTGATATTTATAAGCTAAGAGACACATTTTATAATCATCTTATTTCAAAATGTAGAGTCCGAATAAAATAAAATAAGTACAAATTGGAGAATATTACCAATAATTTAGATGATTACACTAAATTTAACCGCTCGAAGGCATTAAGAAATTGATTGTAATTAAATAAAAAAAAAAACACCACAAAAAATACGAAGTGAAGTTTGAGAAGTGAAGAAGAGATAGATGGAGGATTAAAATAATGGAGGAATATTGTTGGGAATGTGAAAGGGGGGTGAGTAGCACGTGGTGTTTTTTCTTGAAAATTGCAAGGCATTGATAGGCGGTGACGGGGGTGGGGGGGTAGGGGTAGGGGTAGGGGTAGGGGGGGATTTTTCAGTCCGGCAACTAGTTGGAGGAATTGATTCTGATGTAGTAATTTATTGTTGGAGCCATGTTCTTGTCTGAAAGTTTGAGCAGTGTGAGAGAGTGAATGAGTGATCATATATGAATGAGAATCAACTAGTCAGTAGGCAATTATTATTTAAATCCAAACTTTTTTGAATTGTTCAATGCTTTTGGGGTCCTTGGAAATGGGGCTATGACCCTATTTATGACCTCACTATTGGGTAATTTGATTTGTTTTTTTTTTTGTCAAAAGTCGAAGCGCGTATTTTGTAGTTCTTTGCGTTAGCTTTCTGATGCAATTTGAATCGTCAAGATTGGATATCGAGTATGCATGAATCAGTGAATAATGTCTATAACTCGGATGTTTTGAAGTATCTAAAGTTCAAAATGTAACTAATTCATGCAAAACTTTATTCACTAACATCCAGTATGTCTGATTGAAGTGGACTAGAGCACTAACTCAAGGGACTAGGATTTTCGTGTTTTGAATTTTGCCAAAACACTGAAACATGATTAAAATAGAGGTCAAAATCACGCAGAAGTCAAAACAAGAGTAGTAAAACTGAGACAACATTTAACATTTTAGCAACTGAATCTAAGTTTTATGAAAAATTGACTTTGATATATGAAGTATATTTAAATTTAGACCATCAAGCTAAAGTCAATAGTCAAATTCGTTCAAGATATGAGTATATAATACTCTCTTTGTTCATAATTAATTGTCATTTTTCAACTTCCACAAGTATTAAAATATCAATAAACGTGTCCTAATTTTATGAAAAAATAAATTAAAAAAATTAAAATAACCTTAATTATTTAATGATGTGATAGGATTACTACTTAAAACAGAAAAAAAAAAATTGAATTTACTGCAATATTAAAAATCCAAAATAACAAATAATATTAAATAAAAATATATTAAAAAATAAACGATTATTATAAAACAGAGGGAATAATAATTAGCAATTTTAACTTATTATGTATTTTCAACATAAAAAAAAACCTATTAAAATGTAATAATATAAGATATTTAATCACAAACCTTTTTACTTTAATAATTGCATGGTGAGAAAAGGGGGGAGTATGCAGTGACATTGGAAGATGTAAAAGCTTCTTTACAAGAGGAAAGTAAGCTTTATACTATTTCTTGCCAATGCCCATACTCTTTGTTTTTTAGTTGATTAATTAATTTTCTGGTTGGGAATACATATTTTGGATAGGCATATTTAGCCCATAAAAGCTCCAATTTTCGATATAAATGGGTAATTTTCAGTTATTCAATTACATGATATTTTATATATTTGGTCTTATTTGGATGTTATATTATTGAATGGACCATGTGATTTAATTTTTAAATTTAGTGGGGTGAATCATTTGATATTTATATCTTTAATATTTGATTTGAAATTGTTCGATAAAAGCTTGTTTTGTTAGCAAAACAAAATCAAACTTGAACGTGTATTTTTGTTAGATAATTTATGAAGATGACCTCGAACTCGACTATATATATATTGGGTCGATCAAAACTCAGTCGAGCTTGACTTGATTGCTTAACAAATTAAATGTAAAAAAATCATTGGCCACATGAGTTAATTGGTAGTTTATATCAAACTTCAAAGGATGTGTGCATAATTTTATAAATTTGAGGGATCTAGCTATAAATATACCAAACATCAAAGAAGTGTATGTAATTTAACCTTGATTAAATGATCAATCAATTGTGATTGGAAAGTACATGGTCTTCATCAATGAAATGTGATTGGAGTTATCATGAAGTTGAGGAATTTCACCAAACTAAAATTATTACCAATGTGGAAATTTGGAATGTCAATCATATGAATGCAATTTTAGCCCCATGGGACAAGCAATAAAATGATAATTGAGTAGTTAAACAATTATTGCATAGTGCATATATAATTATTCGAAATCGATACCATGGTACATTCATTGTGCAATATAAGTTAACAAACATGATCTAGATATAGTACGAAGGTAGTGTCGTGTTGATTATACTCTATTCGTTTCTTTTTAAGTGTCTCTTCAGTTAAATTTTTTTTTTCTCATATTTAGTGTCACTTTGGAATTTCAACGTAGGGCAATTTTTTCCTCCAATTTTACCTTAGCATTAGTGACAGATTAATGAAGTAATAAAGAGAAGTTAAAAAGCACAAGGGGTAGTTTTGTCAAATAAGAGCTTTTCTGCTAAAATAAAGGCTATTTAATAACTTTCTTAATTGATGTACTTTAAACTTAAACGTGAAAAATTACAGTTTTGCTCCTTATACTATACACCGAAATCAATTTTAGTTTTTATATAATTGGTGAACTTTGATGCAAATAACAATATATTTCCTCTTGCATATGCCATACTTGAGAGTGAAAGCAAAGACACTTGGATGCGGTTTCTGAAGATGCGGCTTTGAGAATCAACACCAATCGACTTTTCATGTTCGAGAAGCAAAAGGGGAAAAAGAAACGAAACCCCGTTCAACCCTTTTTTTATTATTACCAAACTGCCCTCAACCTGTTTAACCGGTCAAACTAGTCCTTTCGATCCAATTGTGACAACATTGAATTGAAACATACTTTATTCAACATAACAAATTTAACATAGATATAAATTATAATACAGCAAATGCATTGATTGTGCCTGCAGTGATGACTGCGTTGACTAGGAGGACTCAAATATTGTTCACCCAAAACTACATGGACACAATTCAAAAGCTTTGTACCACAATGTTGGCTTCTTAGTAGCAATTGCATTAAAGAATATAGGTGAGCTTCAAGGAAGTACAAGTACTTAATGCATGATGACTTTCATCCTCTTGATTTAAGTGTTTTGTCGAAGAAAACGACAAAAATAGAATTGTGAAATGCGGAGAATCAATTGAGTTCCTGCTGAAACATTTCTCTTAAGAGTTAAGACTATATCTTCAGGATGCCGATGGTGTAGTAGTTTCTTTCCAGCAGTCTTCCAACATACAACAATCAATTATAGAATAATTGCACTAATTTCCGACCCTTGGCGAACTCTAACAACGAGGAATTTTGATTGAAATTACGGAAGAAGAACACATTGTTTAATACTTTAAAAAAATATCAAGTGAAGAATTAGCCAAACTTTTCAATTTTTTACAGGCAATGAATTATTAGTTTGTGATGAGTCACGTTTATTAGGAAAAATAACAAATAAAATATGTTTGTCCATTAATGATGATAATTGGTCTTGGCCCAATTATTTTATTTATCTAGATTGGCCCAGCTATTTATTTATTTGAATTGGGTAACATATTAAAAATATTGAAAGCCCAAATCTAATATAAATAATATTTCATTGTCTAAAAAGATAAGGGGTCATTAGCAATAACCCCCTCTTATAGATAAAAACTAGTGATATGTCCACCCATCAATTCTTTGTTTGTGATAAACCCCTAGAAAATATAATTCCAATTATACCCTTCCACCAATTAACACGCTCCTTAATAATTAACCTATTTTTAATCACAATCCCTAATAACAAGGCGCCTAATCCCGCTTAATCTGCTTTATATTATTTTTTCCAGAAAACTGCTGCCAAAACGAAAAATAAACAAACGAGAATCACCATCGCAGAAACGCCGCACAAAATTGAATCCTCCACCACCACAAAAATTCGCTTCAAAACTCCAGTCACATACTAAAATCAAACCCTATTTTGCTCAGCAACCCTCCATTTGCACCCACATTGATAGTCATATACAATTTGAACTTCGCCATTAGTAGTTCACTTCAGAATCTAAACCCTAAATATGCATAAGAAGGCAATTTCAAAGCGCAAACGAGGACCCAAGCCTCGAGACATCATGAAGCTCGATGCTGGTAAGTAGCTAAAATTTGGGTGCGATTTTTTTTTACACTGGTAAAAATAGAAAAATTTATTTCAGGAGCAGAGATCCAAATAAGTTTCGTAGCCAATTTAAACAAACTTTTCATTTCTTCTACAGACATGTTTGGTATGCGTGCATGATTGGAATTTTTGTGTAAATCTGGTGCGATAATATTTGTTACCAGTATGACTCTCCGATAGTCAAATAGGAGTCATATCTTGGTAGTATATATGCCTTGTCTTCTAGTCATATTGAGTCATATTGAGTCCAGAAGACCATGTCTTATAGTCATATTGAGTGCTATTCAGATCATGGCAGTATGCCTTGTCTTTTAGTCATATTGGGTCATATTGAGGCGTATTGAGTCCAGAAGACCATGTCTTATAGTCATATTGAGTCATATTCTTCCCATTTGTTAAGTGTATAGGTTCTACATAGTTGTAGTAATACATAGTCATGTTTGGTATGTCTGCATTTTTCAAACTGTGTTTGTATCAGATGTGACAATGTTTCTCACCAGCGGGTCCTGTGTTAATATCATGAGGTCTCCTGTTCTGCAATTACGTTAATTGTCTGGGTAAAACATATATGTGCTCAATTACTATTGTATTTTTTTTATGAGGACCACCAAATGTTTTATTATGAAGCCCATATGTGTAGAAATATGCAGTCTCATTGGTCATATGCACTTGTTATTACGTTATTGAAATCTAAAACCAAGTGAAGAGCAAATCACTCTTGAACCGCAAACGAGGCCCCCATCTCTCGCGACATTATTGAGCTCGACGCTGGTAAGGATTTGTAACATAAACCTAGTGAACAGAAAATCACTCTTGAACCGCAAACGAGGCCCCAATCTCTCGCGACATTATGGAGCTCGACGCTGGTAAGGATTTGTAACATAAACCTAGTGAAGAGAAAATCACTCTTGAACCGCAAACGAGGCCCCAATCTCTCGCGACATTATGGAGCTCGACGCTGGTAAGGATTTGTAACATAAACCTAGTATTTGGATACCATTTTGCTTCTATGCAGTCATGCTTATGTCAAAAGAATCAAAAGGAATGAGTACAAAATAACTGATATAGCCAAAATGGTACAGATCTGAAGTGTGCTCACTTATGCTGCATGTATGTTCTGTGGGTGTAGTCTTCTGGAGTCATGTTATGTTGTTGTGTTAATGTGTGGGTAGAATCAGATATAGGCATATACAGTCCTGTTGTGAAGTCATGTTCAGTCATTGTGTTAATACAGATGTAGTCATATACAGTCGTACTGTTTATTTTGTCCCTTGATATTATGTTTTGTGTGTGTAGTTGTGTGGAGTCATGTTTTTTCATTGTGTTAATGTGTGAGTTGAATGCATATGTAGTTATATTTACGAAAAATTTCAATTACAGTCATATGTAGGTTTTTTTTTGTAGTAGTAGTCATGTATAGTTACACTATAGTAATGTATAGTCATATTTGGTGCTGATAAGAATTTTTCTTTGGTGTTGGGTATAATTAGTATCTTTTTTTCACACGTAGTCACGTGGGCTAATTTGATTGTAAGTGAAGAATATAAACTAAGCAAACAGTTTATCAATGTCTTCGAAGTTATGTGTATTCATATTACTCACATTTGCATTCGGTGTGTAACCACATTGTTGGCATGCTTAGTTAGTGTATGGTCATGTAAAACCTAACCGTTTATAATCCTATATGTGAAATTATATAATAAATTACAAAAGCAGTCAGATATATCGTATTTCTGTAATAGTCATATATGAGTCATGTGTAGTCATATTCCTGCTAGTATAGTATTTGGTATTCTATTCAATGCACTTTGTGGTTATAACAATAACATTCGTTTGACAGATGCTATAAAGAAGTTGGCGTTAGAGGAACAACGAGTGAATGCCGATGATCCCAACGAGCAACTGTTCGAGGGTGAGAAAAATTGTGTGGAGGACAAAAAATTGTACAATAGGAGTCACATATGAATAATGTGACTCAATGTGATGAATTGTTTTTTTTTCGTACTTGTGTATTATATTCCAAATTCAGAAGGCCGCTGGAGTTTTTCTTTTTTGTATTTCAGTTCTGCTTATTTCACAATGTAATAAAAATTGTTTATCCCTACATTTTTCCTTCGATTATCGACAATAATTTTCTTCTATATGTTCGTCATAAAATAAATAAAACTAATTTAAACAAACAACTTGACTGCATATACTTAAAAAAAATATAATATACGACTACAAATATTTATCAGGATAAGTGTACACCTTTGAATGTGACTACATATAAATGTATGTATCCGGTTCCATGTTAAATTTTACAGCCCTTCTAAATAAGCCAACAAAATCCTTAAAAAACCAATTGTGTGATAATCTGTACATATCTGTGTGAAAATATGAATAAAAATATGACTGTATACGAATACGACACTACACGAAACGAGAGGTCAACCCACACACCTAAAGCACCTATGTTCCACTTGCAGCCACAAGACTACTATACGTGACTACTCTGGTTTTTTTTTTAACCAAGTCATACAATCAACGAAACTATATATGCACATTTGTACACCATTAAAAAAATCTAAACAACGAATTTGCAAATGATTTGTTGTATAATCAAAACTAACAATAACACAAAAGAATGAAAACCTCAAAGTTCACCGTTTGAATCTTGCTATCGTAGTCAACTTGTAGTGAATAATATAGAACGTGACTATATCACGCTATGAGTAACTGAGTTTCATTGATAACATGACTTCTAATAATTGAGTTTCAATTACAATACATAACGCTAAAACGATTATATATGACTACTCTGGTTATTTTTATCAACTACAATAGACAAAAAAAATATTTCGATTTCTACTTCAATTCGACGATTTCAAAGGTTCCTCGCCCATTTCACAAAAGTTCATCACCTGTTTCTCCAAAACTTATAATAATAAAATTTAATCACAGTGAAAATTAGTTCCAGACCAGCAACTCAACGGAGTTTGAAACCCAGAAGCAACAAATCCAAAATCACCACATATCCCAATTAAGATCTGAAATTTCCCATGAGATATGAATCTTCAATAAATCGACGAACTTCCAAAGTTAGATCCAAGTGAATAAATGTTTAATGCAAGCGACACCTGGATTGATCGACGGAAGAGAAATTGATTGGCGGCGTGGAGAGATTTTTAATGCGAGAGAAGAGGGGGAGATCAAGATGAGAGAAGCGAGAGATATGAAATGTGAAATAGAGAGAAAGGGCAATTTTGTCTTCTCATATTGGGTGAGGGGGGTCTCACAAATTCTTATCAAAAAATGGGTGTAGGAAAAAGTCTTTAAAGTCAATTGGGTTTAGTTCATAATATTTTCCATTTGAGGGGTGTGTTGCATATTTCCCCAAAAGATAATTCTATTTTAAATACAAGCTCTAATTACTAAAAAAAAAAAGACAAGCTCTAATTAAAGGGTAAATTATCACCACTCCTGAGGTATGGTTCAATTACAAAACACCCCTCTTGTTTGGATAATTACAATCACCCCTCAACTATAAATCTTCTTACACGTCCACCTTAGTGGTTTCAAATTTAGTGGAATCTTCGACATTATATGGAATATTATCACTTTTATACCCGTTTTATCCCATTCGAACTCCACATTTTGAAGCATCACGATCATAATGTGTTTTTTGGCTTGTATATATTAGATTGTGGTGCATCAGAAACTGTATATTTACACAAAACGAGTACAAACTAGAGCACATCCACAAAATCTAGATAATTATGTTGAATTTGACACCATAAAAGTGGAAATGTAAGAAAAAAACATAGTTGAGAAGTAGATGTAATTATCAAAATAAGAGGAATTTTTTTCATAATAAAAATATCAAAAGCCCAAAATCAAATATAAATAATATTTCATTGTCTAGAAAGATAATTCTATTTTAAATACAAGCTCTAATTAAATTGACCGACCCATATGCGCCGTGTGCAATTTTTCGAACTATGGCATAAACAATTATATTCACTTCATTCATATGGTTTAATCGAAAGTTCCAACGATACATAAGAAGAACGAGCCTGTGAAAATAGTATAGTTGATAGAGTAAGGAGAGTGCAATGTTTAATGACCTGAGTTCGATTGCAATTGTCAATACATTGTAGTCATCAAAAGCAAACCACGGCATATATATAGGTTTCGTCAATACATTTCATAATTATCGACATACTTAGCACGAATTACTTTTGAAGTAAAATTACAAAATAATAACTCCATAAAATAGAATTGCATATCAAAAGACTATAATTAGTTCAACTATTAGTAATAATAATTGATTTTTGTACTTGTAACATGCATACTATCTCTTCTCTTTTATGTAGAAAATAATTATAAAATGATAATCTTATTTATTAGGGAAATTTATCTACTAGATGTGAACAAATAGTACAACAAATGATATTTTTATTTTTTATTTCGATTACACTCAGTATTAAATTTTTATTTGCTAAAAGTCCCTAAAACGCATGTTATTCGACGACCGAAAAATGTTGACTTTTTTTTATCGGGAGTTGCAAATGAAATTATGTTAGGGATTTTTAACAGATTCCTCCTATTTATTATTACTAACATTTCAATTAATATTTCAGAATCGATAAAATTAAAAAGAAAAGAAATAGAAAAGAAAAAGAAAAGAAAATAAAAGAAAATAAAAGAAAAGAAGAAGACTCAAGAGAAATTTATTATAGTTTAGTTTTACTTTTTTTTTTTGGAAAAAAAGACACTGGTTCAATTTTTTTAGGGCAAAAAATATGTGCTAGAATTAATAGAGTTGAAAAGTGAAAGGACTAAAATGAAAATATAAAACCCTTTTATTTATCATTTTGGGGGCTGCTGAGTTTAAAAACCCTAAACCCTAACTTTACAGCGGAGAACCCCAACCCAGCACCCACCAAAAAAAATGGCGTTGTACGTGCTATACGAATCGGCGTCGGGATACGGTTTGTTCTTGGCGCACGGGATCGATGAAATCGGGCAGAACACGGAGGCGGTTCGGAGCTCCGTTTCCGATTTGAACCGGTTCGGGAAAGTGGTGAAGCTCGCCGCTTTTACACCCTACGAGTCTGCTCTTGACGCTCTCAACCAATGCAACGCCGTCTCCGAAGGTATAAAATGAAGTCTGGTTACCTTTCGTTGTTTTTTTTTTTTTAGTTTTTATGTGGAGTTGTTATTTATTGAAGTTTATGCCGTTCTTCTATATATACATATATATATAATTTTTTTCTGTTTGAAGAAATTTTTAAGCTTGACTTGTTGATTTTGTTTAGAAAGAGATGTTCTTTGTGCATTACGAATTGTACCGTCAGTCTGGTGACGTAAAGAATGGGTTTTTAGGGTCTGGTGGGTTCTTCTTCAGTTAATTATGAAGTTGGAATACTTGGAACTAATCAAAATTAATGGTTAAACGAATGAGAAAATGTGGGGCAAATAGATATTATATTTTCTTTAGTCATTGAAACGAATTTAGCTTTGCAGAAGCACTCTAATGTGAATAATACGAGCCGTGGTTTACATTCGATGTAGAAAGTGGTACTTTCTTTGCTCGGAGTTTGAAAGTTCCGGCACATTGTCAAGGATTTTATTAAAAAATGATGGTACAAAAAGATAGAAAAAAATTGCTTTGGATATTCGTCCTGTTTCTTTGGGGGTCGACTAGATGTTCAGGCTAGTATGGTAGAAAATAATGTGGAAAACGTTTGCACGTTTGTCTTGCATTCGTTAATTATTAGAAAGTGAAATTTTGCAAGTTGTTTACCATGTATTTTGTCCATCTTTTTTGCCTGTGGTCTTCATATATATATATATATATATATATATATATATATATATATATATATATATATAATATTTATCGGTGTATATAGATATCTACTTATGACATCTCTGTGAATGTTTGTGTGTTTATGTATGTATTTTTATTACCATATCGATGCAACTATCGCTCATGGTATATGTAATGACATCGATTGCCTAATGGTGAATTTTGGATTAAGGTCAAATGACTGATGAGCTGAGGAACTTCTTGGAGCTCAGCCTACCAAAGGTCAAAGAAGGCAAGAAGCCAAAGTTCAGTTTAGGACTGGCGGAGCCGAAGCTGGGATCACACATTTTTGAAGTGACTAAAATACCCTGCCAAAGCAATGAGTTTATCCTTGAGCTTCTTCGTGGCGTGCGCTTGCATTTTGATCGGTTCATCGAAAACCTCAAGGTTGGTCGCATTTCAGACTTGTTTAATTCTTAGTGAATCGTACTTGTTTTGTCTGAAGTTGATTAAATGATAAATTTTGTCGACAGCCCGGTGATTTGGAGAAAGCACAACTCGGTCTGGGTCACAGTTACAGCAGAGCGAAAGTGAAGTTCAATGTGAACCGTGTAGACAATATGGTTATTCAAGCTATCTATATTCTCGATACTCTCGACAAAGATGTCAATTCCTTTTCCATGAGAGTGAGGTTAGTGTATACCGTCAACCTCCGTTTGTGATTCTTTATGCACATATTTATGTAACTTAATTTGTTTAAATTGTTTTGCTCAACCCATGTTTCGTGCAGAGAATGGTACTCGTGGCATTTCCCCGAGCTAGCGAAGATTGTTAACGACAACTATCTGTATGCCAAAGTTGCTAAGTATGTGGATGACAAATCCCAGTTGTCTGAGGATAATTTATCAGGCTTGACAGAGATAGTAGGCGATGAAGATAAAGCAAAGGAGATTCTAGAGGCTGCCAAAGCTTCCATGGGTATAAATTACGATTTCCTCACTTCTTGGAATGTGATTATTCTTGTATTAATATGCTGTCCTTTGTGTTTTCAGGACAAGATTTGTCACCAATTGACATGATTAACATTAAACAATTCGCACAAAGAGTGACCGAACTTGCTGAGTATAGGAAGAATGTTTACGATTATCTGGTCTCCAAAATGAGTGACATAGCCCCTAATTTGGCTGCTTTGATCGGTGAAGTTGTTGGTGCACGTTTAATTTCTCATGCTGGTAGTCTCACAAACTTGGCAAAGTGTCCATCTTCGACACTTCAGATTCTTGGCGCCGAGAAGGCTCTCTTTAGGTATATTTTGCTTCAGTCAGTACATATGTTGATATTTCCGATTTATTTGTTAATTGAATTTCTCCTAGTTAGCTGTGTGTGTTTTTGTTCCTCAAATTTATTGCACTTTACTTTTAGGGCACTGAAAACCCGTGGGAACACTCCAAAGTATGGTCTTATTTTCCATTCCTCCTTCATTGGCCGTGCATCTGCTAAGAACAAAGGGCGGATGGCTCGTTATCTTGCAAACAAGTGCTCTATTGCCTCTCGGCTTGACTGTTTCTTAGGTTAGTATGTTTTTTTTTTCAGGTATCAATTGATCTGCATTTGAAAAGTTTTTTGATTTATTATAATTTGTTTTTTTTTTTGGCAGACAAAAGTACCACTACTTATGGAGAAAAACTTCGAGAACAAGTTGAGGAGCGTCTAGACTTTTATGATAAAGGGGTTGCTCCACGTAAGAACATTGACGTGATGAAATCTGCTATTGAAACCGCGGACAACAAAGGTAAGCCAAGTCCGCAATCCATTGCATTCTTTTAAAGATTATTTCCAAAAAAGGTTTAGAAAAATCAATTCACTATGAATCGTCCTTTGAATCGACGCACCGCAACAACAGAGATAGACGTCCAGTTACCAATTTTTTTCATTTTTTTCTTGTTGAAAGAGTACGTATATAGATATACATTTATATAATATGCGTTTGCATAAGCACATATATGTATATACATATTGACCTATGGATGACCGTAATATCTCACTTAACATTTGTTTATATACTCACTTCTTCTTATCAAACCATTTATAGAAGACGAGACTATGGTTATTGTGAATGGAGATTCAACTGAGGAGCCGAAAACCGAAAAGAAAAAGAAAAAGGAGAAGAGAAAACATGAGGTCGAAGAAGAAAAACAGGAAAAGATTGATGTGAATGGATCGAACGTGGATGATGGAACTGCTAAAAAGAAGAAGAAGAAGAAGAGCAAGGACGACGAGATTGTCGTTGATGCTCCAGCTCCCACCACTGAAGGCAAAAAGAAGAAGAAAAGCAAAGTCACGGGCTGAGGGCAATTGAGTAAATTTTGTAAGTTGTTCGGTCGAGGAAATTAGTAGTTTAAGATGTCTAGGAAAAACATTTTATTATGTTGGTTGTAATATGAATGCTCGTTCGTTCTAGTGTGGTGTGGCTGAATGTGTGTATGCATCAAGTTTTGCACATTTTTCATTATTAGATACATTTGCTTACATGTTCTATATTATGTTTCACTTGATCCTCTAATATATTGTTTTAATACGTTTTGTTGGTTTTTAAAATATTTACGATCTTTTTACGTTTTAGTGAATGATAGAACGTCTCCGTTTTTTTTTTATTAATTATATTGACGATCTTTTTTGTTTTGTTTATGTTTTATTCATTAATTATATCATTGAATATAATCTTTTGAAATAATTTATAATAATTTTATATGAGAGTGATCTTTCGAGTGTCAATTGTTGTTTTTTACAAACTGCATGAGCAAAAATACTCTTGAAAACACAAACTACAATCGTAGTTGTTGAATATTGGTTAAGAGAGGTTAGATGTGAAACTAGTTTCTTGGTGGAGAGAGTTAATCAATCATTACATAAGATGTGAACCTAATGACTTGATTCTGAAGTTTAATTACACATGTATATTAAGAAAACTAAAATTAGAAAAAGATATGTAATATAAATTAATGACACTTCCAACTAATTATCTTTTTTTGTTAATTACCCACTCCACTTGTGATAATTAATATTCGATAGAACTTTAAAAAGAATAAAGGAAAAAATGAAAAAAAAAAAAAATAATGTAACATTGATATTCTTAAGTGACTTGTGAAAAAAGCAACAATTAATTTAAATGGAAATACACTAGAACCTCGATAAATTAATAATCGATAAATTAATAACCTCGCTTAAATAATAAATTTTCCCGGTCCCGACTCGGGGACAACGTGCTAAATTAATAATTCGCTAAATTTATAAGATAATACACATTCGGAAATTTTAAGAAGCCCCATATAATATATAAATTAATAATGCATAAAAAAAATCTTAAATTACATGGTACAGTGCATATTTTATAGATCTATGAAGACTTAATAAAATATAATTTAATTCTCGCTTGTTTCTTGTAGAAGTTCACATTACCATCAATCTCGTCCCTCACTTTTCTTAACATGGTTAGAACTTTCGGTATAGTTTTCTATAACTCAACATAAATCGTTTTATACCATTAATGTTTTAAGAGCTTCCATTCGTGAAACAGGCTCTATAGTTGTTGGGTGCTAAATACCAACACGCAAGTGTACGTATCGCAAACAAGTAGTAAAGTAGACTCGTGAGAGTCGGATGTCGATCCCACAGGGAATACGCAAATTATTTAATCCTAAGTACCAAATCCTAACAATTGTGATTTTTATCCAGCCTACGCAGGGTTGTCAAATTAATTAACTAAATAAATTAAACTAATTAAGAAAGCAATTAAACACGAGAAAAATATCAATATAAAACGGATCTAGGATTTTATCTTCCCCCTATGCGATAATTCTTCACCCAATTAATCTCCTATCATGCAAGTTACGATTCCCGATTATTAACCCAAGACACGAAATTACTCATAACCAGCTGTCGCTGCGTTATAAGCCTATTATTCATAAAAGATTCACTATATGTCTATGCAAACCTAGTATAAATAAAGCATTAAATAACAAGTCTCGTAAACGGCTACCTAAGGTATTATCTGTATGTCTACGATAATACATGCAATTAACACACTCATCCGGTGAGAACTACTCGAAGGCTCTTCTATCCCTGTTCTAATTATTAAAACGATCTGTCAATCAATTCTAACAATAACAAATAGCAACATAAATTAATTAGCTACGTTCATGCGCTAAATAAAATCAAGATAGAAGAAATAATCGAAGAATTAAACTTGCATAAAAGTCGAAAAAGAGGTTCGAATTACCACATAGGGTTCCAATAAAATCCTAGAATAAAAACTTAGCTACTCATGTTCTCTACGAAAAGCATAATAAAAATACGAAGAAACATAAAAACTATGAATAAAAATCAAAGAGTAGAACTATGATGAAGATTCGTCAAGTCTTCGTCTTCGTTTTTGTGCTTCTTGATTCCGTGTAGAAAGATGAAAGATAAAAACTAAAAATAAAGATAAAAGGTGAAAAGATAGATCTAATTGTGTGCTCTTGGCCTTTAAATAGGGTGCAAAAATATAATAGGGCGGATTTCCTTGTGTAATTAAACTTCCTTCACTGCGCCAACTCGTACACCCGGACGGCCGTGTGAAATATAAGCTTAAAACCCGCACGGCCGCGCGGTCTTCAGTTCTTCAGAATTCTGATTATTTCACTTTTGGCCCACTTTTTCTCCGAATTTGCAGTTTTCACCCCAAAAGTTGACAATTCTTCAATTTGCACCTAAAATACAAATAATAACCATTTTAAGCACCAATTATCATTAAAACACACCAAAAGCTCCAATTAAAAGGTACCATTAAGTGTAAAAATATACACTTAACAATAGTGCATTGAACGAATGGTACAATGAATAATATACACGTAAATTTAAAAAAAAAATGTATTTATTGAAAATAATAATAAAAGTAATTTCATAAATTAATAAGTTATTAATTAATGTATAAATTAATAATTATTAATTTATCGATAAGTTAATATTTCGCTAAATTAATGAAATCTTGATGGTCCGAACTGTATTAATTTATAGATGTTTAACTCTAGTAGAGTAGCTTATAAACCCTCAAGTTCATAGCTTTGGTTGATCATAATTATAATTTTTAGTTTTTCCAGAAACTAATTTATTAAGACACTTTTCATATAATAATAATAATAATAATAATAATAATAATAATAATAATAATAATAATAATAATAATAATAATAATAATAATAATAGTAAAATAATGAATGAAAAAATAAATAAAATAAAATGAGGGGCAAAAATGTCTTTGGCCAACGAAACCTCAGCCTGCGCCTGCTTAAGTTTGAAGCATTGAAAGGTCCGAATTTCGAAACTCCGAAACACAAGCAAAGAATTTTCACACACTCTCTCACCTTCTTCACACTCACCAAACCGCACCATACGTAGAGAGAGAAAGTAAGTGAGAGAAAATGGCTGCAACGTCGAATCTCGAGGATGTGCCGTCGACGGATCTAATGACTGAGCTCCTCCGTCGCATGAAGTGCGCCACCAAACCCGACAAACGTCTCATCCTCGTCGGTAATTTCTTTCTCCCTTCTTCAATTCTGCCTCCTACTTCTTATTTCCATTCCTCGCTGTTCGTTTTGTTTTTCGTAATTGGGTTTAGGGTTTGTCGAATTGGAATTTAGATGAAACAAGGGGGTGGGTGATTTGGTTCAATTTTGGAGTATTTTTCGACTATTTTAATTTTTAAAGTATACAATTTTTCTTATTAATTTTTTTATTTTATTTATGTACATCTTAAATTTCTATTTGCAAAATTTTCCCAATACTTGCAGGCTGCTACACATACTTTTGAAATTGGATCACAATCATATTTAATAAACCATGATATTATTATCTCTTGTCAGATTATTTATTACCAGAAGTAGTTCGAGAATTTCTTCGAATTATAGAATGTCGAACAAACGGATGAATTTAAGAATGTACTACCGGACAGATATTTCAGTTACTAGTTTTTTTTTAAAACTATTTTTCTATAGATAATTTTGTGTTTCGGGTTTTTCTGATTCTTTCTATTCGCATTATTATTATTATTTTACAGGTCCACCGGGATCAGGAAAAGGTACCCAATCACCGATAATTAAAGACGAGTATTGCTTATGCCATCTCGCAACCGGTGATATGCTTAGAGCTGCTGTTTCTGCCAAGACCCCCCTCGGAATTAAGGCCAAAGAAGCCATGGAAAAGGTATATTCCACGAATTATGCTAAACACAAATTACAAGTATTTTCTAACCAAAAAATTGTACCGTTATGATTTTTCCAGGGAGAACTTGTTTCGGATGATTTGGTTGTTGGTATAATCGATGAGGCCTTGAAGAAGCCTTCTTGTCAGAAAGGTTTTATTCTTGATGGATTTCCGAGGACAGTTGTCCAAGCCCAAAAGGTCAACTATTTACCGCGTCGCCCTTTTGGTTGGTTTTTATTAAAAAAAATGCGATTTAAATGTATATGTTTCTTGTTATTTAGCTCGATGAGATGCTTGAAAACCGTGGAACTAAGGTGGACAAAGTTCTTAACTTTGCAATAGATGACGCTATTTTGGAGGAGAGAATTACTGGTCGATGGATCCACCCTTCGAGTGGTCGTACATACCATACCAAATTTGCACCTCCGAAAGCTCCTGGTGTTGATGATGTAATGAGTAATAGATTCTTATTTTTTTAATTATTATTTTATTTTATTTTATGTATTAAGAGCTAATTTATTTCATCATTTGTGAAGGTAACGGGGGAGCCTTTAATTCAACGTAAGGATGACACAGCTGCTGTTTTGAAGTCAAGGCTTGAAGCTTTTCATAAGCAGACCGAACCAGTATGTTTTTGTCTTCTCAAACTTTTTACGTTCCGGTTTATATCATCTTACACTTCCTTGATGTGCAAATTATCTTTCATCTGCTTTTGCTATCCAATGTTTTTATGTTGTGGAAAATGTTGATCGCAAATATCTTTTTTCGATTTTGTGTTTGTATGTTCCTTGTCACATGCAGGTTTTTTTTTTTTTACCGCAATGCTTTATTCTAGTGGCTATTTTTTTTTTTTAAATTATAATGTTAACCATGTCGGTTTGATTAGATAGAGGCGTATCTTTTGTAATAGCGTAGTTAACATATGCATGGGCATATTTGCTAAGCGGAGGATGGTGGGAACAATAAATAAAAGGAAAATATGTGTAGCAAAACGTTGAATTTTGTTGCTGAGTTTGCCGGGATAATAGCCAAACGATAAAATTTTACGAGCTACTATTGAAGGCGTAAAGGTAATAATAATAAAAGTCGTTTTGGTTGTGCAGAAAATCACTTAAAAAACAAAGATTCTTGATTTGAGTTGATTCGTATTTTGTGCCTATTTGATTGTTTTCAAGTTTGGGAAGATTAATTAACTACTATAATTAACTACTTAATTATCTTTAATTAATGATCACCACTGATTTACCTTTATCGAATGCGCAGGTGATTGACTACTATAGCAAGAGGGGCATTGTTGCCAATCTTCAGGCAGATAAGCCTCCTCAAGACGTGAAATCCGAGGTCCAGAAGGCTCTCTCCTGATCAAAGGCTCCCGTTTTTTTTTTCCAACTATACAAATAAATATTTGGTCACTATATGCTTTATGTTTTGCTGAGTCGAGGAACCAATTGAGCGTTAGCTATTGATATTTAAGGCAAGTTACGGAATAATTTTGTTCGACTATTTGGGGAGGCTAACTGTAGTTTTTGTTTGTATTTTCTACTGGTAATGATTGCTTATTTCTCCAAAGCACTGAAGCAGTGTTATAACAATACATGATACCTATCATACCGTAGCCCCGTTTGGTTGCCAAGATAAGCCATGATTAACTAAATAGTTGGACTTAATTTGATGTTTGGTATCCCCAATAAATTGCTGGGTCGACCCGCCAGAATTATATAATCATGGTTTATCTTTCATTCTAATGAGTTTTTTTTGTTGTACGTTGCAAGCTCCAATAAAATAATTGGGTTTTATTAAATTATTTAATTTTATCTTGCCAACCATTGGCAAATGAGACCTGTATGTATATAACTGTACGACTAGAATGTATTGTATTTTGTGTATCGCGACATGCGAGCGATACATGATACACGGTACAGAATTTGGCAGGTCGCACAACTATTTTACGGCTATTTTCCAAAAGAAATACACAATTTTCCACTTATTCTTCAAATTCCTCAAACCCTAAATACAAAATTCAGTCCGAAATCAACATTTTTAGTAGAAAATCTTCAATTTCTTCCAACGAAACCCGATCGAGTTGTGTTGATATTGTAGATGACGTGTTATACATTATTTTTTTAGACTTTATTTTAAAAAAAAAATTGATGTTATTATTTGATCAAACATCCCCTTTTCGCGCCAAAAAAATAAAACTGAAATTTCTTGCCAACGGTAATTTGACAATCCTACCCCTCCAGATACTTTCTACTTTCCACTTTTGCTGACACGAGCAAGGGCACATCTGTAATTTCAGTGTAAAAAGAAAACGGTTCTGTTACTCCCCGTTCTGCTACTACTCCTCCTTCCCCAAACTGAATTTCCTCATCCTCCATTAATTTCTTCGCTGAAGAATCAGAGAGCAAAAATACACCATTGAAGAATTCTTCTCTGAAATTCGAAGCTCAATCACTACTTCCATGGCGAAAACAGCAAGAAATTTCAGGAGCTCCTGCATAACCCTAAACCCATCCTTCTTCGTTCAGCTCCTCGCAATTTCACCATTTTCGACCCCGAAGAAGAACTCGAGAAATCGATCCCCCCGAAATCTAAACCTACTCTTCTTCCTCTCTCTCTTCATCCTCTGCACTTTCTCCGGAATCTGCATTCTCTCTTTCTACGCAATTTCTCAAACCCCAGCTCCATGCTCCGTAATTTCGCCGATTTCTTCGTTTTCCCCCTTTCTAATGGCTTCTCTCTCTTCAATTCTGAAAGACTACCCTAAAATTTCGGGTCCCACTTTGTCCACAAGTGTGATGGTGCCGTTGCCTGCGCGTGGGGTGCCTTCGAATGCTAATGTTTCCGAAATCGAGAGGGATTTTTGGAATCAGCCGAACGGTGAGGGGTACAGGCCTTGTTTGGATTTCAGCCTTGATTATCGGAAATCGTCGGCGAAAGTTTCCAAGGAGAGGAGGAAGTTCTTAGTGGTGGTGGTTTCTGGTGGATTGAATCAGCAGAGGAATCAGATTGTCGATGCGGTTGTTATAGCTCGGATTCTCGAATCGGTTTTGGTTGTACCCGTTTTGCAGGTTAACCGTATTTGGGGCGACGAAAGGTTTGCAAAATTGGACTTTTTTCGATTTTTTTTTCTTTTCTCGATGTTGTGAAAATGCTTTCGTCTTTTTGCAGCGAGTTTTCCGATTTATTCGATTTGGAGCATTTCAAGAAGACGTTACAAGCCGATGTTCGAATCGTTACTTCCCTTCCTTCAACTCATTTGGTCCCACAGCAATCGATCGAAAATCAGCTTCCCTTTCACGTATCGCCGGCCTGGATTCGTGCAAAATTCCTTCACCAAGTAAGAAACTCGAAAAATTCATCCAAGTCATAAAAAAACCCGCTTCCACGTTTTCTCTGTACTGATATTTTACACTTGGCGATATTTAGCTAAACGAAGAAGGGCTTCTCATACTAAAAGGGCTCGATTCTAGACTCTCCAAGAACCTTCCTCCCGACCTGCAGAAACTCAGATGCAAGGTAATAAATATACACGGTCGATTTTATTTCTTTACAAGGTCGAGATATAAATATCGGTAACTGATTCGATTGGATCCATTTTTTTTTTTTGTGTGTGTGTGTGTGGATAGGTGGCGTTTCATGCTTTGAAATTTGCGACTCCAATTCAAGAACTGGGAAATCAAATTGCTAGGAGAATGTGGATTGAAGGTCCTTACATAGCTCTTCACTTAAGAATGGAGAAGGATGTGTGGGTCCGAACCGGATGCCTAACCGGGCTGGGCCCACAATACGACAATATCATATCCAACGAGCGAAACTCAAATCCCGATTTCCTAACCGATAAATTGAATATAACCAAAACTGCAAGAAGGCTTGCAGGACTCTGTCCTCTCAGTGCACTAGAAGTTGCAAGGTGGTTAAAAAAAACAAAAAAAAAAAAGACTTTATATATATATATATATATATATATATTAAGAGATCTCATTTTTTGTTGATATTTTCAATGCCATGCATGCAGACTTCTCAAGGCATTAGGAGCGCCAAGAAACGCTCATATATACATAGCCGGGGGAGAACCGTTTGGTGGGGCCCACGCATTGCAGCCACTAGTGCACGAGTTTCCAAAAATAGCAACGAAAGAGATATTGGCTCGTGAAGGAGAGCTCGATCCTTATATAAACAGACCTTCGGTTCTTGCAGCAATAGACTACATTGTCTCTTTGAGTAGCGATGTGTTTTTGCCTTCACACGGAGGCAATATGGGCCGAGCTATGCAGGTAAAAATTACGTCTTTTTATAATTTTGACAAAAAGGCCTTAAAAACGAAGATTTTATCGATTGATGTGTTACGAAAATTGATTAATAGGGACATCGAGCGTACGTAGGGCATAGGAAGTACATAAAGCCGAATAAGAGAATGATGCTTCCGTTGATGGAGGATGGTTCGATTACGGAGGGCGAATTTGGAAAGATAATGCAGAAGCTGCATAAGTATTCAAAGGGGCAGCCTTTGTTGAGGAATAAGAAATTGGATAGAGATGTTTTGGCTTACCCTGTGCCTGAGTGTATGTGCAAACAATGAACATGTATTTGATCAATTCATCAGCCAACTACTTGTTGGTTGTTGTTTTCATAATCCATAAATTTGAAAATTGCTGATTTTTTTTTTTTTTTTACCAAAAATATAATAAAATAAATAAAGGAAACTAATCAACTAATTATTTATAACATTTACCAACCTCAACATCAAATATTTTAAAATTAAAACATAATAAACATAACAATCTATTAATTACTGGATCATAAAAATTGAAAAGTAATGAATGAATTTTTATTGTATGATAATGAATGAAAATATATTTTAAGAAATTAATGAACTAAAATAAATTTAAATACTTAAGATTACTATTATATATGTATTGATTTCTTAAAATTTATCGATATGAATATATTCGATTAATTGGTTCAATAACAATTAGACCTTATTTATTAAATATGTACCAAATTGTACAAGATAATATTTTTAAATTTTTAAATATTGCATTTTCAACATATATTTTTAGTTGTATAATTTAATTATTCTTTTAGTTATTATTTTAAATAAAAAAAGAAAATTTTAAGATATTAGGATTTAAAATACAAATTGAATTGAGATTGAGGGGTAAGTGTTACAAATGATACTTTAGGAGGTAAGTGGTACATAGGTATACATTAGGGGTGTAAACTGTATTATTTAATTATTGGGTAAATTACAGCCACCCCGTGATATGAGGTCAAATTATGAAAAAAAAGTTCATTTTGTTTGAATAATTACAATCATTTCTCAACTATGAATCTTCTTACACGTCCACTCTTATGATTTCAAATTCAATATTATTTTCTAATTCCGTGTAATGTTCGCTAGTTTGTACTCATTTTGTGTAAAAAATGTAGTTGCTGATGCACCACAATATGATATTTACAAGTTAAAAAACATATCTTATGATCATTTTGTTTCCAAATGTGGAGTTCGAATGAGGTAAAATGAATACAATTGAAGAATATTGCACATAATCTAGAAGATTCTACTAAATTTAACACCGCAAGAATGGATACGTAAGAGTAAGAAGATTCATACTTGATGGGCTGATTGTAATTATCTAAACAAACGGAATTTGACCTTACCTCATAAATTAATTTAGCCTTAATTATTAAGGTGGTTGGGTGACTTATGGTCTAGTCAGCCTACTTATCTTTAATAAATGTATAAATGTATTTAATTATTCATTTATTACTTTTTTTGATAATTCATGTTTGAAGCAAATTCGGTAAATTAATTTTGCAAAATAGGACCCACATATACTTTCCGTGGTCCGACCCGCATACGATACTTTCTTCTTTATCTCAACACATTTCTTTTGACTTCGCAACAGTATAAATAATAGCTTCGCCACCACCAAACGACGACGTTTTGTATCAATTCATCCCTCTCTCACACGCTCGGAAATCTTCCCCAAAGGTCAGATCTTTTGCCCCCATCAACACATTTATATACATGTGTGTGTTGTATATATCTTTTGATTTTACAGTGTGATTGAATTTTGCTTTTTATTTTTTTTTTTAATTTTTTTATTTTTAAAATTCAAATCATGAATTAAGACAGTCAGTTTTTCATGGGTTGTTCGAGAATCAAGAAGTGATAGTGAATTAGTTTTGTTTGAATTTAATTGACGCTATTGATTTCTGAATTAGGGGTTTCAATTTGGGGGTATACTCTCTGAATTGCTGTTCATTTTAATTATTATTAAATTCTAAATTTGCTGAACTTTTTGACGTGATTAGTAGATTAATTGTTATTGATTTCTGGATTAGTGTTATTCTTCCATTGCAATCAAAGTCAAACTAAACTACTCGATATTCGATTCGAGGATCGGTTGGTTAAAGCTCGTTTGAGTTATGTTCTCGCTCGAGTTCGACTCGATTGCTTATCAAATATCGAGATCGATAAAATTCAAACAAGCTTATGCAACCATTTATGATAAACATTAGACCATTAATTTTTTACCGATAATCTGATCTTTTTGTTGTTAATTGTTATCACCATTTCATTTGTTTGCTATCATTATCAAGATTCTCTTTCATGTTTCGTTTTTTTTTCAATTAACTTTCTACGATTGTAAATCCGATATATTGCCTTATTATAGGTCTGGTGAAATTGCCGACAACTTTATGGCTTCATTCAAAACATTTTTGAACAGTCCGGTTGGTCCGAAAACCACTCACTTTTGGGGTCCCATAGCTAATTGGGGTTTCGTTATTGCTGTAAGCTTTCTCCACATAAAATCGTAAATACGTAATTAATTAATTAATTAGTCAGTTAAAAGATTTATTCCGTTATGCAGGGGCTAGTGGACATGCAAAAGCCTCCAGAAATGATATCTGGCAACATGACTGCAGGTTCCAAACTCGAATTTCTCAAAAAAAAATGATTTTTTTTTTCAATTATTTTTATATTATGAATAACTCGTCGTTTTTTTAATTTCGAACTGATGTAGCAATGTGCGTATATTCGGGATTGTTCATGAGGTTTGCTTGGATGGTACAGCCTCGTAACTATTTGTTACTAGCCTGTCATGCTTCCAACGAGTCCGTGCAACTCTTCCAACTCTCCCGTTGGGCTAAGGCTCAAGGGTAAGCTCGCTTAGCTGTCATTTAAGAATTATATATATTGAATGTTTTTCGCAATTATGTTAGTCTTCGTTTGGTTGGTGACATAAGTCAACAAGTCATGGTTAATAAAATAATTGGAGCGTTATTTTGGCGTTTGGTTAGTTTATTAACTTTACGTCTCGGTTCACAATTATGGTGAAAATGTGTAGTTTATTGGGAAACTGTGCATTAGACCTCCTCTATTATAATGCTACGGTTGAGTTATAACATAAGAACCAAAAGAGGCCTATGTTGTGTTGAACACTATAATATATAGGGTAAATTACAGTCACTCCTGATGTAAGGTCAAATACAAAAAAAAAACCCTCTTATTTGGGTAATTACAACGACCCATGAATTATGAATCTTCTTACACGTCTACCCTTATGGTATCAAATTTAGTGGAATCTTCTAGATTATGTGGAATATTCTCCAGTTTGTACCCGTTTTATTCCATTCCAGTTCCACATATTGAAACAAGATGATCATAAGATGTGTTTCTTGGCTCGTAAATATCAATATAAACTGTGTTTTTTTTCACAAAACGAGTACAAACTAGAGAACATTCCAGGAATTTGGAAAATTCTGTTGAATTTGACACCATATGGGTGGACGTGTGAAAAGTTTCATAGTTGAGGGGTGGCCGTAATTTACCCTAATATATATTACTCTCCTCATATGTATCAGTCTTTTTATGGAGGGTTTCTAATTGATTTTTTTGTGTTTTTGTTTTTTTTACAATTCTTCTTCAAAGAAATATAAATATAGTATCGCTCCTTTTATAACTATACCCGTATAAATGAAATCATGGCCGTCCAACTAATATTCGTTGATGTTCGTCAGGTACTTGGGAGAGAAGAAAGACGAAGCCTTGTCTCAGTGAAGAGCCAAATTCCTGCTTTTCATTTTCCCCTTGCATAAAAACAAGCCCTCTCAATTTGATACATTTTGTTCTTGATGTAAACTCGAAGACGCACTTTGTCATTCGTATTGGTTGCAATGTTTGATAATTGTCCCAATTCATCACAAGATGTTCATCTATTGTTTGCGTTTTATTTACGACAGAAGATTGAATAATAGAACAAACAGAAATATATCTCATATAAATAAAAAGTCTAAATACTGTTTGTAACCGGCACACATCCTCTTTGCCTTCAAACATACATCTCAACCGGCTTTTTTACTTGTTGCATATCGAAAAAAGAAAACAAAAATGCAGGCCTTAAATATGTCATGAAGTAATTTACTGCTACAACATCAAAAAACGTAAACCAAGGCTTCTTTCATGAAGATATTTGAATCCATACTCGGTCGGGCAACGAACAAGTCTTTTTAATCTTCATCGTCACTTAACCTCTTCTTGCTACTTCTCTTCGATTTCTTTTTCTTACTTGTGTGTTCATCTTTAAATCCCTTTTTCCGTTTTGCAGGCGTTTCTATTACTTCAGCTTCCTCTACTGTGTTCGTAACTTCTGGCACAGGAACTGTAATAGTGTAAACACGTCAGCTAAAACAACTTACAGCCACTTATTTAAGTAAACTCGATAAAACTTGAGATGTTCCGTAATTTCTTTGGGGAAAAGAGAACATTGAATTTAGTGTATTGGACCGATCATTTTAGCTAGAGTTATTAAACAGCTATAGTTATCGCAGCTAAAAAAGACGAGAGAATAAAAGAAATTGAACTTAGACCTTCTTTACGGAAGTGGGAATCAAAGACGACACTTGTAAGATGTTGCTTTAAGAAAACCTGCATTCAAATTCAAAATACAATCATCAGTTTAAGAAATAGTGATGATACTGCAGCACGCAATAAAATAAAAAAAATCCGACTACATATCACAAAAAATAATGTACGGATCATGTCATAACATACCGCCGAGAGAAGTTGCCGTGATTGTATGTCCCAAATGCGCAAGTAGCTGTCAAGACCTAATACGAAGAAAAGTTTCAAATCAGCAATTTTTACTCGACAATCTAGCTGAGAATTTGTATGTTAATATTAACGGTAACATAACTTTTTGGGTGAATTACGGATACCCCTAGGGTAAGGTCAAATTAAGAAAAGACCCTTCTTTGTTAGGGTAATTACAACCAACCCTTCAACCATGAATCTCCTTACACGTCCACTCTTATGGTGTCAAATTAACATAATCTTCTAGATTCCGTGGAATATTATCTAATTTGTACTCGTTTTGTGCAACAATGCAGTTTCAGATACAAGCCAGAGAGAGACACATCTTGTGTGATCATCTTGTTTCAAAATATGGAGCTTGAATGGGGTAAAACGGGTACAAACTGGAGAATATTCCTTCCAGAAGATTCCACTAAATTTGACTTGTTAAGGGTGAACGTGTAAGAAGATTCATACTTGAGGGGTGGTTGTAACTAACCAAACAAGAGGGTTTTTTTCGTAATTTGACCTTACCTCCCAACTTTTTATTACATCAATGATCCAAAGTAAAAGTTGAATAATTAAAAAACACGACAGAACAAGAATTACTAGCAAATGAAAGATTCTTTATACACGATTAACTCAGTTAATGTTGATAACACTCACCGCAAGAGGCAATAACAGGGAGTTGAGGGTGCCGGGCTATAGATTTTATACCTCCAGAACATTTTCCGATAAAGCATCCCAACAATTTTCCTACAGTACAAAAGCAGGGAATAGTTTTAAATATATTATTATTAAAAAAAAAAGAAAAAAAAACATTAGAAAAGAAAAATAGATAACAGCACTAAAAGAAAGAAAACCAAAGTATACCTGTGCGCATGTCAATTGACGCAAGGTCACCCGATCCATTTCCAATATATATTGTATTTCCGTCAATATCTTCACAAACAGCCTTAATTGGGGTTTCTCTAAAATCAACTGAGATCACAGGCCTTCTCTGAGCAGAAATATCATAAAGACGAACCTGACGGATTTACAAAATCAGATAATATTATATTTCAAAATATCGTCTTACTTGTCACGCATACGATATTTACTTATTTCAGTAACAAATTATTTTAAACTAAGTAATACAAAAAGCATTACTAAATTATTTGCAGAAATATTACCTGGTGAGAATTGGTGCCAGCGACAAATTTACGGTGATCGTCTTTACTCAAAAAGGTGGCAGAAGTAAACCAAGTTGGGGTAAATATTCCAAGAGTGTTTTTCGGTGGCTACACAATAGATAAATTCAGCCAATCAGATGCCAAAGAATATATATATATATATATATATATATATATATATATATATATATATATATATATATATATATATATATATATATATATATATATATATATATATATATCAAATAAACATGAAGAAAGTTAATTACTTACACATTTGGCCGTCCAGATTTTCACACATTTTTGAAGATCCCACAGATTGACTTCAACGCCCTTCCTGTGTTAAAGAAAGGATTTTTATGACTACAATTGTCGAGAACTATAGAATTTTATTTTTCAAGACTGAGAATTTTGCGTAAAACTCACCCTCCAAACAAAGCATAATTCTCGTTTCCATCGATTTTTGAACACAAAATATTACCGGACCCACATACATCCCACACTGTTGGAGATGGATCGCGAACAAATTCTGCTACAGTTCCACCGAGCTCAATAGATTCCATACGTGCATGCCCTTTCGTTGTGCAGGTAAACAACTTACACGCCCTAAATTAAAATTGTAGGAAAATAACATATGTCATAATTAGGAAGTGCTAAGATGAGATGTAATCAGATAAGCAACACTTTTGGTGTAAAAATAATCTGATGCAAGAATCTTTAATAGAGAAAGTATTGACGTGAAGACATGACATTTACGAATCAAATAAAAGTAGATACATATTTGTATTTCTACTCATTTGACATGGAATTCCAAAAAAAAAAAAAGAATAGAAATTTAGCCTACTTATGTTTCAAAAATATAAAGAACAACTCGACCCGTAAACTTTTTAATTGAATTACTATAATACCTAGATGATGACTCTGACTGCTGTTTTGAGAACAAATGCAATCCAGTGATGGCATCATCCTCGTCACCATGATTCGGAATTTGAGCACGAAGATCCCCGTTAATGGCACTAATAACCTCAATCTGTGCGAAACCAAAATGCAGAATACTCAGCACGCAACACAAAACAATCGCATACAGATTTAGTCTTCGATAAGTATAAGAAAATGACTTACCGAACCACATTTCCTTGCAACACTAACAAGCTGCAACGCAACGTTCACGGATTTCCATGCAATACAAGTAAAAAAAACGTCAAATCACAGTACGAGAAAATACTTCAATATAGCTGAGACTATAATCAGGATTCTTAAGATTATTATATGCCCCGAATATAAGTATCTACATGAAAAAGGAATCTTCTCGAAATTTCTTCGACCCTCTTCGCTAGCAACTAAAAGAGGAGGCGAGTAATCACTACAGCATATATAAGTTGGAAAGCTATTTTTTTTAAGGTTTATCGAACCCTAACAAATAAAATCGGCATGCTAATTTAACTGTAAATATAAAAAAAGATAACTTCACTTGGTAGCTAACACCCAATAACAAGATAGTGTCCGAAACCCCCCCCCCCCATACCGGGTCGGACTCTCGGTCGAGAATGGAGGCGGCGAGCACGCATTTCGACGAATCCGGGTCGCCCCATCTCTCCACCATCTTTACAGCACCTCCATCCTGTCCGTCGTGCGCCTCGATAACTGTTCGATGAAATTACCCAATGAAAAATGAACCCAAAAAAAAGGGGGAAAAAATGAAAGAGGTTTCATTAAACTTTTCAAGTCAAGTGAAGTGATATCTCTGGGCGTGTAAACTGAATACACGATTCTTGATTTTTTTCTTCCATTTTATACTTACCCTTGACAAGGCCGAGAGAATCGAAAGTTAAGGCTCGAAGTGGCGGGCAGCCAGGGCTTTCCACCGTCGTCGTCCGTGGCATAGTTAGTTTGTCGGAAGAACAGCAAAAATACGAAGTAGTAATCTGCTATGAAGAGAGAGAAATAGGAGAGAGAGAGAGAGGGGAAGAGGGCGGCGCGGCGGCAGAGGCAAGAGCTAACGACTGCGGTTGATGGTGGGCTTTTTGATATAATGGCCGGAGTGAAGTAAATGGGCTCAATTACGTTTTTATTCATTGGGCTAAGATAATTGACTATGAGATATATATATATATATATATATAGGGCTGTAAATGAGACGAGCCGGCTCGCGAGCTTCCGAAGATTGTTCGAAAAAAGCTCGTACTCGAGCTCGAAAAATCGAGCTCGAGCTCGAGCTCACGAGCCCGAGCTTTTCGACGAGTCGAGCTCGAGCTTCATTTCAGTTGTTCGACAGCTCGCGAGCTT